GTCATCCCATTATTAGTTCAGGTTGTCAACACATCATTAGTCCAGATTGTCAACACATCATTAGTTAGGGTTGTCAACACATCATTGGCCAAGGTTGTTTTCACATCATTAGTCAAGGTTGTCATAACATCATTCGTCCAGGTTGTCATCACATCATTAGTCCAGGTTGTCAACACATCATTAGTTCAGGTTGTCATCACATCATTGGTCTAGGTTGTCATAACATCACTAGTCCAGGTTGTCATCACATCATTGGTCCAGGTTGTCATCACATCATTGGTCCAGGTTGTCATCACATTATTGGTCCAGGTTGTCATCACATCATTGTTCCTGGTTGTATCACATCATTGGTCAAGGTTTTCTGCACATCATTAGTCAAGGTTTTCATCACATTATTAGTCGAGGTTGTCAACACATCATTGATCCAGGTTGTCATCACATCATTAGCCCAGGTTGTCATCACATTATTAATACAGTTTGTCATCACATCATTAGTCCAGGTTGTCATTACATCATTAGTCCATGTTGTCATTACATCATTAGTCCAGGTTGTTATCACATCATTGGTCCAGGTTGTCATCACATCATTGGTCCAGGTTGTCATCACAGCATTAGTCCAGGTTGTCATCACATTTTAGTCCAGGTTGTCATCACATCATTGGTCCAGGTTGTTATCACATCATTAGTCCAGGTTGTCATCACATTATAAGTCGAGGTTGTCATCACATCATTGGTCCCTGTTGTCATCACATCAATAATCCAGGTTGTCATCACATCATTAGTCCTGGTTGTCATCACATCATTAGTCCAGGTTGTCATCATATCATTGGTCCAGGTTGTCATCACATCATTAGTCCAGGTTGTCATCACATCATTATTCCAGGTTGTCATCACATCCTTAGTCCAGGTTGTCATCACATCATTGGTCCAGGTTGTCATCACAGCATTAGTCCAGGTTGTCATTACATTTTTAGTCCAGGTTGTCATCACATCATTAGTCCAGGTTGTCATCACATTATTAGTCAAGGTTTTCATCAAATCATTGGTCGAGGTTGTCATAGCATCAATAGTCCAGGTTGTCAACACATCATTAGTCAAGGTTGGCAACACATTATTAGTCCATGTTGTCAACACATCATTAGGCCAGGTTGTCAACACATCATTGGTACTGTTGTCAACACATCATTGGTCCAGGTTGTCATCACATCATTAATCAAATTTGTCTGCACATCATTAGTCAAGGTTTTCATCACATTATTAGTCGAGGTTGTCAACACATCATTCGTCCAGGTTGTCATCACATCATTGGTCAAGATTGTCATCACATCATTTGTTCAGATTGTCATGAAATCATCTTTATTTGTAGTTAACTCAGCTGCAATCTTTAGTTGTAGTTAACTCAGCTGCAATCTTTAGTTGTAGTTAAATCAGCTACAAACTTTATTTTAAATTTACTCAGCTACAATCCATATTGTGGTGAGCTCAGCTGCAATACATACTAATCTACCAGATTTGTATTTATGCATACTTAACAGATAATTACAGGTATATATTTGTGAGCGTATAAATATATAATATATATTTAAAAATAAAAATGGACTCTGCCGTTTTTTCCCTCTAGGTCTTCATATGTAATAAAAAAAATTTCTATTTCAATATACATGTAAACATGTTTTAGTTTAACATTTGTTCGCTTCCTTGTATACTATAAATAATAATCTTTTCTGTGATTCCTTTGTTTGATAAAAAGCGATAAAAACATTACTAGAACAAGTCATAAAAAACTTTACTAGAACTAGCCATTAAAACATTACTGGAACAAGCCATAAAAATATTACTAGAACAAGTCATAAAATCATTACTAGAACTAGCCATAAAAACATTACTAGAACAAGCGATAAAAACATTACTAGAACAAGTCATAAAAAACTTTACTAGAACTAGCCATTAAAACATTACTAGAAAAAGCCATAAAAACATTACTAGAATTAGCCATGACAGCATTACTAAAACTAGCGATCAAAACATGATTATAACTAGCCCTGAAAGCACTGCTAGAACTAGCCATGAAAACATTAATAGAACTAGCCATGACAGCATTACTAAAACTAGCCATGAAAATATTTCTGAATACCAAAGTGGCAAGATCGTTTTATAACTTATAGTTGACGCTTCTAAAGAGTTAGTTTGTTGTAATGGAAAAGAAGTGTTCTCCAAGCGTTGTAGCCTGACTGGCAACTACAAGCAGATTAAATATAGAGGAAGACGAAATGATAGATGCTGCATAATTTATTGGCTGCAGCAAACAGTAGACTGTAAACTTTTAAAGATGGATAGGTCGATATTTGGTTAAATAAGAAAATAAGGAAGAGTAAGTTAAAGAGATACTGAGATGATAAATGTGGTAGAGAGAGAGAGAGGAAGTGAGAGATGGGGGATGGAGAGAGAAAGATTGAGAGAGAAAGAGGGTGATATATATATATATATATATATATATATATATATATATATATATATATAT